GGGGGCGGACGGGACGCGGGGTGGGCCTGTCTGCAGCGTGGTGGTGCGTGGCTCTATGGTCGCGCTGTATATCGTGTACGTTCCGGCCGTGGCAATAGGGTTATCGCAAGCCCGAAGCACACAAACGGGAACGCAGCTACAGCTCGGCGCTGGAAGATGCATCGCTCAGAAAACACCGCGTATCAATGTGAAACGCAAGCGGTACAGCAGCCCCAGATGTAGCGCAAGCACTCAGATTCCTGGATTTCCACCCATGGAGGTCCCACCAGGAAAGGAGAGGGAGCAGTTACATTCACTCACCTCTTTTTTTTTTAAAAAAATAAGTAGTAGGTAGATGTCTGAATTAAAAAAGAAACGGCAAACCAGACCAGAGCCGCAGAAAGGGTTAAAAAACAAAAAAGACAAACCACAACATAAAATCAATGAGGATGAATTCTAATCTTAAATCTTAACAGCCCTAAACCCAGAGGTTTCAAGATAACCTGGTCAGGTGCAACCACAGTATCTATCCAGCTTCTTTGGGGTCATCCCGTGTTGGGACAACCAGCCATCACGGCCGCTGTGTGCCACCATGGAGGCGAACTCCTGGTGGCGGCCACCCAAGCCCACCAGCACCAAACCGCGGTGCCAGCATCTGGGAGGGCTCCTGCACCACTCAGACTCGGCACAGGCAGCAAAATGTGTACCAGTGCCGCCGAGCTGAAACGCTCGTAACGGGATTAACAACCCATTAACCTCCATTAAGAAATGTAATCCGGTTAGCCCAAGAGCTTTTTAGTGCACAGAGCCGGCTGCAGCTCATCCCCCACTGGCCGGAGGGAGCCGGGGCTGACCAGCCCACTCTGAGGAACCATGCCCAGGTACTTTTTGCTGGTGGTTTTCCTCCCCGTACTCATCCCAGCTGCCTCGAGCCATGACAGCCCTCCTCTTCATTGGCAGGGGGTTAATTCCCTATTTAATTAATAGGGAATTAACAACTATGCCACTATGTTAGCATTTCTCTGGCCGGGGTCTGTGGTTTCGGAGATGCTCGTGGACAGATGCCGCATCCCCTCTTGGCTCTTGCTTCGAGGGTTTGAACACTCACGTTTTTAATTCCCTCTGTCACGCCAGGCTCGCTGTTCCCTGATCACCCCTGCAAGCTCTCCTGCCGTCCAAGCGGGTCCTCCGGGGAGCTGGTGGGCCACAGTCCTGTTCCAGGTGAGGGCTCAGCAGGGCTTTAGGCAACGGTATTTATATCTCCCTCTCATTTGATATATCCTAGGAATATATTTGCCCTTCTCAGATCCTCGTCATAATGATGACTCACAGGATACATCTTTGAGACCAAGGTATTAAAAAAAAAAAAAAAAAAAAAAAAAAAAAAAGGAAAAGAT